ATAAGGAGAGAATCTTAAAAGCAGCAAGAGAAAAGGGGATAGTTACCCACAAAGCAGTTCTCATAAGACTATCACCTCATTTATCCAAAGAAACCTTGCAGGCAAGAAGGGGCTGGAAAGAAGTATTCAAAGTCATGAAAGGCAAGGACCTACATCCCAAATAACTCTACCCAGCAAAGTTATCTTTTAGAATGGAAGGGCAGATAAAATGCTTCCCAGATAAGGTAAAGTTAAAGGAGTTCATCATCACCAAGCTCCCTTATTATATGAAATAATGTTAAAGGGATTTATCTAAGAAAAAGATGATAAAAAATATGAACAGTAAAATGACAACAAACTCACAACCATCAACAACTGAACCTAAACAGAAAAAAAAACCCATCTAAGTAAACCACTAGAATAGAAAGAGAACCACAGAAATAGAGATCACATGGAGAGTTATTAGTGGGAAGGGGGAGAGGGAGGATGGGGGAAAAGGTACAGGGAATAAGAGGCATAAATGGTAGATACAAACTAGACAGGGGGAGGTTAAGAATAGTATGATAAATGGAGAAGTCAAAGAACATATGTATGACCCATGGACATTAACTAAGGTGCAGGAGATGAGGGAGGAAGGAAGGTGCAAGGTGGAGGGGGACACTCTAATGGAATAAGAGTCCTTATGGGACAAATGTAATAGCATGATCAATAAAATATACTTAAAAAAAGAACTAGTTCTCAAACAGCTAACTCAGTAAAAGTAGGCTATGCTTGGGCCAGGATGAAAGTGTCTCATGAACCAAGGATTATGATTAATCCAATTTTATGCACCTGGCCCAATCTTAAAAAGCAAAACAAGACAATTGAAAACAAGCTTATTCAAAAGGATGGTCTGAGATTTAGATTTTAGAACATGCATGCTTATTCTTATTAGTTTTCCTCCTCACTATTTTCCCCCCTTCTTTTTAACCATCATTTTCCTTCTCCATTTCAAGAATAGGCTCTAAAAGCTCTCAAGCCTTAGGAATCTGCTTAACCAACCCCCTTAGCGGGCACCTAAGTCTCATCAGGACTGATCTGAGCTGGCCCCTGGGAAGGGGACGGCGAAGTATGAGCGTGGGCACTTGGATACAGCTGCTGAGGGTGCTGGGTGGTGACCTTATCCAGATAGGCTGGCCTTTCACGCTGGACAGTGAGGAGAGGAAAGGGAGACCCTGCCAAACAGACCACCGCTACCCTGAGCCAAGGTTCTCACACTCAGAACTGCCTGCTTTGGGGCTGGGGGCTTTTTAAATTTTGGCATTCATCTGCTCATCAGACATTTACTGGGCACTGAGCGAGCTCCTCTTTGCATGCTCCGGGCCCTCAGGGCTACAGGGCACGCAGTGCCTGTTCTGGTTCGCATGCCACACTGTGTTTGGGGAGTGTTGGCATTACCCAAAATCTGGGAGCTGGGTGGTCATCTGACTCCGGGACCAGTTAGGAGACAAAGCAACTGAGAGCCTCAGTGCTTTATACCTGTTCTGTCTCTAACCTGCACAGAACTTTCCCTTGTTTCCCCCATGGAGCTCTGCCCATGCCTGATTACATGTGTCAACTGTGCATCCTTTGCACTTGCAAGGCTAGAGACTCCGGGTATAATGGAAAGGCAATGGGCTGACTGCTTTTGGTTCTAATGCAGTGTCCTCATTGGAACACTTGCCACATCAATTTACAGTCACCTCTTTTAGTCTCAGGTTCCTCATCTGTCAACAGGGAATAAGAGCCCTTATCTCGCAGGGTGGTGTGAGATTAAAGGAGATAATTCTGAACAAGCATTTTTCAGTTCTGACATATAGTAAATGTCACACAGTAAATGGTCTCTTATTATTATTTTCCTGAAAGTGGGATCTGTAAATATAAATTCACTCTTTATATTTCCATAGGGCCCAACACCTTCAAACATTCAGTACTCTTTGTGAATGAATGAGTGTGTGCCCTTTGAGAATGAGATCCCATGTCCTACTACCATTCTGACTTCCTTCTTGTCAGCCCCACGGGGGCTCTGGGACACGGTACCTACCCCTTTGGCCAGGAGTTATCTGAGAAGCCCTGGGTTCGGCACCGTGGGGGGAAGGAAGGGCCCTTTCGTCTCCTTGCTGCCACTTGCCAAAAGGAAAACCACCAATCAGCCACAGATGTCTTCTTTGGCCATCCAATAGCTTCCTGAATGGTCCTAAGAATGTGAAAGGCTTCGGAAGCTCCTTCTCTTTGAGAATCAGGGCATCCCAAGGCGAGGACAGGGCCCTGGCTGGCACCAGCGTGAGATGGCAGTGTCCTGAGATCACCAGCACAGCCTGCACTAGCTCTGCCCCAGGCCCTGGAGGCTCCTTTCAGGAGCAATGAAAACAGGGGCGTAAGCGCAAGGGGGCAGGAAGGGGAGACAGGCATCTGGACTCCACACCGCCTCCCACTCCTGTTCCTTCCTCCACAGGTCTTGTGCTCTGGGAGTTGACTTTTCAACTCCCTGCTTCACAAGCCCCACCCCTCCTCAGTCAATCAAATAAAAGAGCACTGCTGGGTGGACCCTGGACTGGGGACATGTCCTGGGCCGGGAGGGCCAGAAGGCAGGAGGCCTGAGTTCAAATGTGACTTCTGCTACTCAGTGGCTATGGGACAAGTCCCTTTGGTTCTTGGAGCCTTAGGATCCTCATCTGTAAAATGAGGTACAGTCACCCTTCTCGAAGGTCAGTGTGAGAATCAGCCGCAACTGTGCACCTAGGAGATGGTCTCGAAACTGTAGTGATCACCGTTCTTATTCCACGCACTCAGGCAGAGGCGGGGAAAGGCCTGGAAGGTCCCAGCCCAGGATTTGTTTGTCAGAATGGGCTAAAAATAAGTATTTTTCCTCATCTCCTTGGCTTGGTCAGCAGACCCCAGAAAGCTGGCAGACCTCAGAAAACCTCACCAAGGCTGTGTTGCCGACGGCCCCCATGGATTCCGCTTAAAGGGAGCAATTTAAGAGGCAAACAAAACAGGAAAAGCTACTCGCAATTAACAATGGGCCAGATGGTAATGCTAGTTTGAAGCAATAAAACATGATAAATCGCTTCCTGCTGCTACTCCTGATCAATTTCAATATTTAATAATTCCACTGGCACCCCGCCCCCTCATCGGCCCCCCCCACAGGATCCCGCCATGGCTCCCCTCACTCAGCTCACAGAGCACACACTTCTTCACTTTCTGAAGGCGTCAGCAGAAAGCTCTCTGCTCGACTGTCGACTGTCACACGAGCGCTCTTGGCCCTCGCGATGATAACTAATCTGCCTGCCTCTCCTGAAGACACTCCATCTCCAGCCTCGCCCGGTTGCCAGGGAAGGCTGTGAGGGAGCGACCGCTGTAAAGACACCTCGGAACACACACCCTGTGTATTCATCGAGTGCTGGTGTTCCCCAGGGCTGGGAGCTGGGTGGTCATCTGACTCTGGGACCAATTCATAGGACAAAGCAACCAAGAGCCTGACCCACCATCTCTGCCTCTGAGCCTCGGTCTCCTCCTCTGTACAATGGAGATAATCGTGCCTGCATCCAGAAGGATGCTAGCCAGCGCTGCGCACATAAAGGGCCCGGCAGAGGGCTTGGCATGGGGGAGACTCGCAACAGTGGGCAGCCGGGAGCATCGTTACCACTGTGCAGCCTGTCAGCAAAGGAAGCCTGGGCACGAAGCCTGCCGGTCCCTGCAGTCAGGAGAGGGCAGACCGCAGGTGCGTGCAGGCTCTGCTGTCAGCGGTCGGTCGGACGGGCCTAGGGAGCCGTCGGTGCAGGTGGTGCCTGCTAATACAATTCACTGCCTGCAACTGCACTGAGGGCTCCTTAGGCTTCCGCAGGCACGGACACAGGAGGCCTCGGGCACCCTGCAGAGCAGGGGTTGTTGGCACCAGTTATGGAACTGGGCATGGAGAGGAGAAGGTGAGATGGCTTTTCGAGTTTACATCGTACAAAAGGCACCATCGGTTCTAACCTGGATCTCCCAGCTTCCGATTTCATGTCCTCTCCACCAAATCTCGGGAGAAAGTTGCTCCCCTGGGTGCCCCCTCCCCTGAGTCCCTTTGGGAGGGCAAGCTGGGTGCCAGGTGACCTGAGCTGCAGTTTACTCACCTGTGAAGTGAGGCTGGCAATGCCTGCAGCACGGGGACATCTAATGAGGGCATGTGCATGAAAGTGCCTGGCACCTGTGTGAGGAGCTAGCTGTACACGTCAGGTACGATTATTGTGACTTTGTAGAAAAATGCCCTTTGTGTGAAAAAAGATCAGAAATTCATCCACCTAACGGTGGATCTTTCCAACTGAAGCCTTAACCCCACGGAACCTGGAGGACCAGGAGCAAACTTCCGTGTGGCCCTCAGGGCCTGGCAGCTCCTGCAACCCCATCTCTGCCCCTTCGCCCTCCCTTCTTGCTCCAGCCCCCCTAAGCCGCTTGCGGTTCCCAGAGCCTTTCACAGCTGTCGGTGCCGAGACCAGGCAGCAGCCCTGCCAGAGCGGGGTCTATCCTACCCTGTTCACGAGCTATCGCATCCCGTCCTACGGGATGACTGCCGTGGGGCCCCCTCTGGTGCCCTGAGAGCCCCTGCACTTCCCTCCTCCCAGCACAGAACCTGCTCCTCTCTGCCTCCCAATCGACGGAGAGTTTTTTCAAGCTGAGAACAAGCGCTCTTCACTGCAGTCTGTCCAGGCCCTGGCGCAGCACGTGCTCAGTGTGTGTGCGTGGAGGGATGAGCAAATGAACAGGTAACAGAGTATTCCCCATGTGAATGGAATCAAAAGCCTTAGCAAGAATGAGGGATTCCAATGTGGGAGTCAGAATTTGGGTGGTCACAGCCTTGTGGCAGACAGGGTCCCTGCACTCAAATTCTGCTCAATCCCTCAAGCTGAGAGAATAACCTTTCTCCTCCCCACATCTTGACCCTGAAAGAGAAGGAATAGAAAATGTACTGCCCACCCCTCTCTGAACTCAGGGCGTGGTGGAGGTCAGTCACTGGGTACCTGAGTCCCGCTGGTCCAGGGTCATGGAGTTCCACCTCCTTGTGATGTCGATGTACAGTATGTCCACGGCGGCCATGGACAGGCTGCTGCTGCTCAGCTTGCAATTCCTGCAGAAGACAGGAGGGGACATGTCACCACAGCACCAAACTGGTCCTGGTCCCTCTTGCATCCATGCCTCTGCCCGGGCTGCACTCCCTGCCCAACAGGCCCCCCCCTTCCCAAAGCTGGAATTAATGAAGGGTGCATGGCAGGGAATGGTGGGAGAGAAGGCTGGAAATGTACCGTGACTTCAGGTTAGAGCATGTGGGCTCCTTCAGCTGGGCTAATTAGGGCTTTAATGGGCTGCAGAAGGCAAGGACTTTCGGAGGGCAAGTCTTGAGTCAAACCTGGCTCCTCTATTTGCAAGCCAGATGGCCCTGGTTAACCAGTTTCCCCACCTATAAAACAGGTGGTCTTCCCTACAGTCACGTGTGCTGGCCTGTCCCTGCACAGCCTACTCAGGCTCTGTCTGCTCAGAGGGAAAACGTCTGCACCTTCACCTCCACCAGTCTCTGGAGGAGACGAGCTGGACCTGCAGTGCTGTGTTCCCCTGCCAGTGTCCAGGCAGCTGACGGTCGCACGCTCAGAGGACCCAGTGATGGCAGCACATTACCGGGACCCACTGACAGCGTCACTGCTGTGCAGAGTGACTCCCCCCTGAAAATGCTCACCAGGAGGATCCTGGGGCCAAATCTGCAGGCTGGGGCTTGGGGCCTCTGTACTTCGCCCATCTGTCTGTCACCTGAAGGTTTTATGGAGGCCCGAATCCGCCACAGCAAGCCAAAGACTCACAGAGCAGAGTGGCACAGGCTCCCCACGCCCCATCTCGTGGGCTGAGGCAGCACTGCTCGGGGTCGGGTGGGGGGCTCAGTGCTCCTTCCCGGCTTTAGGGCAGTCACTGGAAAGGACAGGAGGAGGGAGATGCAGGCTTCTGAGTTTTAGGTGTGCCCTGGTTTGGGAGCAGAGAGGCTGAAATGGCCAACTTTTAGTCTGATGTCAGCAGTGGTGTGTGCCCTGTCCAAGCCACGGTGGGATGTTTAGAATCCTCCTTCTCCCCACTTGTATTTTTTCAGAGGGGCGAGGTCTGGAAGTGTGGGGAGGCAGTCTGGCACACTGAAAAGAGCACGATGAGGGCATGCGCCAGACCAGGACTGAACTCCTGCGACTCCGAGCCGTCTACTTAAACCGCTGAGCCTTTATTTGCTGATCCTTCAATGAAGATAATAATAGCCGCCTACATGGCAGTTGTGAAAATGAGGTGAGGAGCCAGCATGGTGCCTGGCACCTGGCTGGTTCCCAGCAACTGCTGGTTGCCTTCTTGGTCTCTCTCTCCCCTTTTCTCCTCTTCTCCTCTTCCAGAACTGGCGCCATCTCGGCCCATCGGAGGCTGCCCGAGGCTGCCCTCCAGGCGAGTGGCCCTCCAGGCGAGTGGCCCTGTCTGTCCTGGAGAAACGCTGCTCGCCGGTCAACGTCTGCGTGCCAGGGCTTGCGCTCTGCCCAGCGCAGCGCACAGACAGAATCGTGCTGTGAGGTGAGCCCTAGCACTGGCTGACTCTGCCCTGAAAATCCTGAAAGCTGCACCCCGGGGCCAGCTGTCCATTTGACTGAACTGCATTCAATGCTGCTTTCAACTTTCCAAACGTGTGCACATCCATTGCCGCAGCTAATGATAAAGTGGTTCTTTGGTTTCCCATTTATCATCCTCCCTTGTGTGACTAGCTCCCTGAGGAACCCGGCAGGCCAGAGATTGATTGGCAAGCAGGGTTTGGGCATCTCAGAGGCCCCTCTCCAAATCCACGCACGCCCCTAACAAGGGCGGTTGGGAGCGTGCCAGCATGGTGCCTGGACGCGGCCGGGGCTCCTCGCATGCTGGCACATTTGCTGGCTCCCGCCCCGCCTTCCTTTCTTCCCGCCCCACACATATTTCTGAAGCCATCCATTCACATCCTGCTTCCTCCTGGGCCGGCTCCGTATTTCAATCACAAGTCACCATGGCAGACTTCAAAGTACATCAGCACACAGTTATTGAGCCCCAGTAACAACATGTCAGTGGACACAGAGCTTTTCATGTCCCCTGTCACTGAGATGGCTATCTCTATTGGGTCCCGCCGGGGTGGGGCTTCCGTGTCTCCCAAGGCCTTCGAACAACCTGCTCGGCTCATTTCCAAAGCTTCATCAGGAACGGCCATGGTTTTCTCTAATTATCATTTCAGGGTCCTCTGGGCTCCTGCTCCTGCGCAGGACAGGAGCTCCGCTGCCTGCCTCTGCAGGTTAATAGAGTACAAAGAGCAAAACCGAACTGACCGCTGGTATATAGTTATTTTTTCCCTGACAGGTAGAAAATGGAAGTGTCAAACCGTTAGCAGGAGCCGTAATTTATCAGAAAGAATTCTCCATTTATCCCTTTTCCAAGGAAACTCATCCTCCCTCGAGACACCCGCAAGTACCGTCGATCGCAACATCTGCTGCGGGGACGGGAGGGATCCTGCTGGCTGCAGCAGACAGGAAGTGCTGCAAAAGGATTTTGATTCTGTAGACACTTGGGGGGGGGCACCATCTGCAAGCCAGGCCTTTTCCTGCCCATTTAGTGCTCTGGATCTTTATTACGACTCTATGAGGGAGGCGTTCTTAGTTCCATTTCAGTGATGGCGAAGCTGAGATTCAGGAGAAAGGACATGATTTGCCTGAAATTTCACAGTTGGGACTCACATTCTCTTCTCCCCCGGAGGAGAGTGGACTTGGGAGTTTTGAGGAGAAGTCAGGAAGTGGCCAGGCCCAGGGCCCCTGGAGGAACCCGGGATTCAAGACACAAAGTCTCAGGAGGGGCCCAGGAAAGCTGGAGCCTCCAGAGAGCCCTGTGGGAAGAGGATGGGTCACTGGGATCCAGGTTCTCCCAGATGTGTCCCTGTGGTCATCAGGCAATGCTGATAGACTCCGAAAGGGAATGAACTGTCATCCACCCATCCACTAAATGCAGAATTTATTTTGTGTCCACTACACCAAGGCAGTATCCTGGGCCTTGGGTACCGCTCTCAGAAGTGGAAGTGATCTGAGAGCCTGGGGGTAAAAACGTGAAGTCTTGGTAGCTCTTAACCACTGAAAACAGTTTCCCCTTGTGTCCTGGAATGCAGTTCTTCAAATGACTAAAGGATAAATTCTTCAGTAGAAGAGAAGCCCAAGCAATATGGTAACATGAGAAGCCAGAAACATTCCTAAGGAAAAAAAAAACGGGCTAGAAATGTACACAGAAGAAATGCACTGTGAAATTCAAGTCCAATGCACCTGAGTTGGGACCTTGAGTTTGCTGTGTGACTTTGAGCAGGTCACTGAAGCGCTCTGCATCTAAGTTCCCTTATTCCTACAACAAGAATCAGGCTACTCACTGTATGAAACTATTTTAAGGACGAGCTTAGTGCTGGTACCTGTGGGGAAAGGACAAATAGCAGCTCCCAGCCTTCCTCCATGATGCAGAACCAGTTTTTGCTTTGTTTTGTTTTTGTAATCAAAGGAATTTGGTCACGTGTGATGGGGAGAGAGTCGCAAATCATTCAAGTTCACTAGGACCCTAAGTATAGAAAGATTTGAAACTATCATCCCCATTTCCTTTCAACAACTACTGGCATCTCATGGGAAATGTAGACACCAACTTTTTCCACTCCATGAAATCCTATTTATAGAATTTTTGTGTGTCCATCTTTCTCTGTGCAGACAAGGAGCCTATTTTTCCTGGAGAGGTGTCTATAAGGTGAAAGCTAACAGATGACCAATATTTGTTTAAAAACATACAAAAAAAACTACCACTTAAATATCTAAGGAGGGGAAAAAGAAAACTCCAGGTTATAATGTATACATTATTTTAAAGGTCACTGATCTCCCAGTACTCACAATGGTGCCAAAAAGAGGTCATCGCAGAAGAGGGGGATTTCCACAGTCACAGAGGAGTTAATGACAGAGGAGAGGCAAGGCCCCTTAGCTTCCATTCCAGAACATTCTTACACACCACGTTGCCTCTTAAGAGAATACCCCCCCCCACAACTACCAATTAGAAAACATATTGACATCTCCTTATGAGAAAAGGAGGCAGAAGGGAGTAAAAAGGAGAAAGAGGAAACTGTTCTTTAGTTTAAAAGGAGACCAGGCTCAGAGGCCACAAAAGGGGTGGTGAGCAGGGGTCTCCGAGAGGCAACGCCCCACACGGAGCCAGAGTGTGCGGGGTGTGGAGTGGCTGCCTCCGCTTCCCAGAAATCAGCTCGCTGTGGGGAGTGGCCTGGTTTTCAGGCTTCGAGATGGAAAATGCAGCACGTGTACACGGATGTCAAATCCTGAGTAGGATGCACTTGGAGACCACGTTCTTAGCGCATTCCACAGGACGCCCCTCCGCATTAGTAATCCAGGGGCAGGAAAAGAACCAAAATGCGCTTCCCTCCAAGAAAGCTGTTGCACTAAAGAATCAGATCATTTCTGTTTCTCAGAGACGGAGAAGTCTCCACACCCCAGCAATTACTGTGAAATAATAATAATAAAGAGATAGGGAAAAGGGGCACTTAATTCATGGTAATTTGTGCTACTATTATGTGCCTCCCGAAGAAATGACGCAAAAAGCTGGTTAGACAGAGTTCAGTCTAGATAGAGCGACAGTTCATTATTTCTCATTTTTTGGTGGAAGAGGAAAACAGAATATGGCCAGGCTGGTGTTAGCATAATTCACTCCTGAAATTGCTGATCTGTGCAGCGCGTGCTATGAGAGATGGCCACTGGAAAAAAAACTCAACCGGAATGTTTACTGTTTTGTCCCTTCCAGTTCTCTTGGAGGAACTGGGAGAGAGAGTGGGTGGTGGAGATGAAAGCCAAGTTCGACCTCTGCCTTGTGAGTGGCAGCCCTGAAAGGAGGCTCTGAACAGTCAGCGTCTGTCTCCTGCGCAGCGCTGCAGAGGAGGGCACTTGGTTCAACTCAACATATGGCATAAATATTATTAATTCATAATGAAGCAAAATTTAAACAAAGCACGAAGGAGAGAGAAGAGCTGTTAGCAAGAGAAAACACCTGCTATTAAATTTAGCTGGCAAGGCTGAGCAGACTCAGGTAAATCTAAAAGCAGAGTACCTTCTTTTACAGTTAAGTTGCTCTTGGGATCTCTTGATACATTTTAAAAAGGAAAAACCCGCTAACGGTTGTGCGGCGTTTTCTCCATTTCTTCCTGCATCTTAATTACTCAGGACAGTTGCTGGTGGCGTCGGGGGAGGGGCTCGCCGTCTGAGTCCGTAGGCTCTGCTGCCTGGTCCCCATTGTGCTCCCTTCTCACGGTCACTGTCACTCCTGCTAACACAGATCGGGAATGACGGCGGCAGGAGCTAATAGTCTCTAACATCACAAAATCAGCGTTTCGCGCACATGCCCTTAATTATAGAGAACAAAGGGATGGAAAAGCTTAAGGTCGATCACGGTAGAGGCAGATTTGTTAGCGGTATTTTTGACACAGCCCAGGCCCAGTCTGAGCGCATTTTAGGAATCTTCTCCTAGGACGCTCCCGATTCAGTGTTCTTTTCAGGGCGGCGTGTGGACACAGCGGCCCTCTCCATTGCGCCTTGGCTTCTCTCACACTGGCGGTCTCCGTGGGCAGCCACGCTTTGATTGAACCCACCAAGGGTTTAAAAATTTCTCCTGAATGGCCAACATTGATATACACGTATTGAAGTTTTACAGAAAAGTCGGTAGTTCCAGTTTCTTTTGAAAAATCAAAAGCGCTGGGGCTACTAGCACCGCGGGGGGGTCTCTCCTTCCCCAGCACATGCGCACCGCCGCCACGCAGACCCCGCCCACGCAGACCCCGCCCCGCACCCCTGTCGGCTTCCCGGGACTGCGATTCTTCAGGTTTACTAGTTTTTCTAAGCTCTTTCCCTCTCTCACATTTTAGTAGCATTTTATCAGAAATAAAAAGGAAGCATTTCAGTTTCCACCGTCCAGTTAGCCTGGATGACAGACCTTTTCTAGCTTCTGGACAGGTGGGACGCTGCAGAAAGCCATCCCCGGGCTCTCCCGCCGCCCGATGGGTGGCCCCCCCCTTCAATGCCAGGTGAACGTCGTTTACAACAGTCCAAACCCTGCCTCCTCCGTCGGGGGGCTGCCTTGATTCCTCCCGGCAGACAAAGGGTCCCCTATTCTGTCTGCTACCCCATGACTCTGCCAAAGGACTGCATTTAATTTTTTGTTCCCCACGAGCTGTCTGTTAGGCTGAGAGTCCCCTGAGGGTAGGTGGGGTGCCATTATTGACCTCTAATTGCTCAGTGGCTACTGGGTACTCAGGAGAAGTTGTTGGGTCATACCAGACATGGTCCTCTCCCACACAAGATTGAGACCGAGCAGGTGTCCCAGGATCAAGGTCCCCTGCAGCACCCAGACTGTGGTCCCCATGCAGCCAAGCCATCCCTCACTCTCATGTGCCTTGAATGGACTCTTCTGTGCAGCAGTGCAGGCGGTGGGAAGGGCCCAGGAAGCTCCTGTTTTTGCTCCAGAAGCTCTCAGCCCCTGGACCTGTGATGCTGAGGGAAGACAGCTCACCCTCACCATTCCCCTGGGACTCTGCACACTTCCACAGTGCCACAGGGGCCCTCATGACTTGTGGCCCCTGTCACAGAGCTGTTCCCCTATGTCCCAAGCCACAGTAGTCACAAAGGGACAGAGAATATCTATTTATTTTTCTCCTCCCCCTCTTCATTATATTGGGACAGTGGTATACACAGTTAGCAAGTTCTACTTTCCAGCTTTCCATGCAGATGGTGGAGGCCAAGGAGACAGACGGAAGTGGAAGTCATTGAACACACCTTCTGGAAAGCTTTTAAAAGGGTCTAATTAATTTAGCAGAGGGCTTTTGCTCTTCCTCCCTTCTTCCTCTTTCTGCCTGGAACTTGACTGTAATGGCTGGATTTTGAGCAGCCACCTTGTGACCAGAAGGCAACTCTGAAGCTGGAAGCTCATGCTTAGGAGGGATGAGCAGAAAGAAAGAAAGTGGGGTGCTGATCACTTTATGGAGTCATTAGCCAGCCCTAGAAGCCCCATTGCCAAACTTCCTGTTGTATGACAAAAACTAATTGCACTATCTCAACCAGTTATAGGTAGTTATCTATTACTACACAAATGCAATTCCTAAATGAGTCAGAGGGCATCATGTTAGGTGGTATTCTTGGGGAAATAACACATATCTGTTGTCTTTCTTGAACATCTCCTTGGCCCGATGGGAATAATAACCATCAAACTCCCATTTAACAAACAGCTCCCCTGAACCAGGCCCTGGGCCCTGTGGTCTGTGATATGTTACAGCCCAACCTCATCGTAACCCTGCAAGGTAGGGGGCATTATGCCTACTTCATAGATGAGGGAAGCCTGAGACTCAGGGAAGACAAGGGACTTGCCCAAGGCCACACAGTGATGCACTTGGCTTTGCAGCCAGACCCCAAATCCTGTGCTCTTCCCCTGGGCTTTCCTGTTGCCCCTGGAATGAACATAAAGTCCTCCTCAAAATCACTAAGCAAGTACTACTTCAGGGTTACTGCAAAGGCAAAAATTCCGCTCATACTCTTGTTTACCATCCTACCTCAGAAATATCTGAGGGCTGTAGAGTTTATAAAACACTCTTAGAGAAAAGTGTGACAAAACTGCTTTCTGATTCCAGACTCCTAATTATTTGCTTTAGTGAACAAACCACGAAGAGCGTGACTTTTGGGTGCATGGTAGAAATATTAAAACCAACGATGAGAAAAACAACGATGACACTGAGTGTTGGCAGACAGTTTCTCTGAGGTGTACACCACACTACCCTGGGGTGCAGGCAGCTTCCCCCCATTTTACAGGACCACTGAGGTTCTGAGGTGTCCTTAACTTGCCTACGGGTTACGCAGCTAATGCTGATAAGCACTGCCGGATCGCCCCAAGAGCCCCAAAGGCAGAGACAAAGAGCAAATAATCTCAGGAGATCAAGTGGCAATGGCTTATTTTGTAGGCTTCAGCAAAGAAAAAAAATCTCATGTTTTATCTTTAAAATCATGCAAAATTTGTATTATACTCTATAATACAAGCTTGTTATTTCTTATAGTAGAACAAACGTATTAAATTATTTATCCACTGAATTATTTAACTTTTTCCTCCTGAAGTCGACACTTTGGAATATGTGCCTTGTTTCTCTGCGGCAGCTTCATGAACGCTCCACACTCAGCCACGTGCCGCTGGGAGGACACTCGCTGGGTTTACGAAGCCCAGGTCTGTCTGAGCCCACGGGCTTATTTTTTATAGGAGGTTTAAGGACCTAGTTCAAGGTAGCACAGAATTGTTTTTAACCATAGCATAAGGTTGTGATTGCTGCCACACTTGAAACATTCATTACTTCATTCAACAAATAAGACACTGGGCCGATCCCACCCCAAAGGGGACGCTGACAGATAGACCCCTGCCAGGAGCAGTCAGACAGACTGAACCAGCCAGAGGTGGGGCTGGACCCTACCCAAGCCCAAAGCCCAAGCTGGAGGGGCTGGGCTCACTGACCTTATGAAGGTACGGAAGCCTGTTGGTCCCAACTTCATTGTCCCCTTGATTCCTAGGAACCGGATGAACAAATTGGCCATCCTGTCCACCAGGCGCAGGTAGTTGAACTGCTTTGCGTACTTGGGGAACACCTGCTTGAGGCAGATGGAGGGCAGGTGGGCTTCGGGATTGGGGTTGGCGTCTGAGGCGATGGCCAGATCACTGTCAGAAGGATCTTCCTTTCCAGCTTCCGGCTTCTCCAGCTGCTGAGACCTGAAGCACACAAGGCATTAATGATCGGACCGACAACTGGGGTGAGCCCTGCCCCAGACAGGGAGCAGTTTCTCTTGCATATTCTCCTTTCCTTGAGATTTACAGCAACCTCGGGAGGTGGGTATTGTCACTGTTTTTATCGTACAGACCAGAAAACTGACCTCAGAGAAGGGACCTGCCCACACTCATGGCAAAAGGCAGGACTGAAACTCAGGACAAAGCGAGGACAGGAAACGTATGCTTCCCCCATTCTGCAATCCGGGCTTCCCAGTGTGGACAATTCCTTTACTGTACTCATAATTCAAGAGAACACTCTCTCATGGCGCAGCCTGGGTTTGATTTTAAACTCCTACTTATGGATAGTAATTGAATTATTAAGAAATATAAATATCTCCTTGAGGGCTGGCAAGAAGCCATCAGCACAGTTCAACAAACAATTTGCAAGGATGCACCAGCTACCCAATTCTGGGAACAGGCGCAGTCACATTTCTGGCTGAACTATTTTCTTATTTGGAACTCAAACAACAATAACAAAAAATGATTCTAGTGTTGTGATTCCTTAGTCTGGGTGTTTTATTCTGAAATTCTGGTATTCAAGAAAATTCACAGCTAATAACGCTCACATATCCGCCTCTGTCCTAGAATGTTCTTCTCACCTCCATATCCACATATCCAACTACCTACAGGCACCAACCTCCACCTGGAGTGACCACTGCCCTTCACTCCGAACCCTCATTCCCCGTCTCCTTGAATGTGACATCTGCCAGTTACCCAAGCAGGAGGCATTAGAATAAATGCTACCTCCTCCCCATCCACCTCTGCAGCCAGCCCAGCTCCTTAGTGTCCCCTGAAACCAGCTCCTCTCACTCCTACCTGGACTCTCACCTGAACTGTGGCAACAGAGCCTCCTGCCTCCAGCCTTTGCCAACCACAGCTCCATCCTGCACATGGCAGCCACAGCGCCCCTTTAAAGCAAACCTGCTTGGGTCGCCCACTTGCTGCAGCTTTTTGTGACCCTTGAGAGCCCACACAATGAAGTCACACTCCTCATTGTGGCATTCAAGGCCATTCCCGATGTCTTCCCCACCCTTTCTCATTTCCTATCACTGCCCTAGACACCCTATACCTGTCAAGGCTCTGAGCCCTCCCTTCTGCCCCTCGGCCTGGCCTGGAAGCAGACACTTGGTGCTCACTGGACACCAGCTCCCTTCTCCACTCAGTGCGTTTCTCTCTGCTCTTGGCCCTCATCTCACTTCCCTGCCTCTTGTCCTGCCCAGAGCTGACCTGGGGCCAGGTGCAACCCTTTCCCACCTGTGTGCACCCATGCTCATTCCTGAGACAGAATCCTGAGCCCATTGAACATGGACAGTAAATACTGCCTAAATGATTAACTGATGCAGGAGAACTAGAAGCACATCTCATGGTACTGAGCGCAATGTCAAGGATATTTTCTACTCTTTTCTCTATCAAATGGCCTTGTCCCTGGTGCTCCCACTTTCAAGGACTCCATCAGCTCCAAGTTGCACCATCCTGGTCTCTTGGTACCTGCATTTCTCGGTGTTTAAGGCCTTCCCCTGACCCTGGATGCCGGACACACTTCTGGACCACTTTCAGAAGCGGCTCGGATGTCTGCTCACCACGCTGATGACTCTCTCCCGTGCCCCACTCCTGTCCCTTGGACTTGCTTCTCTGTTCCCTCGTCTAGGTGCGCTGAATTTGTTTACACGCCAATACCTCTATTTTGTGAGCTCCTTGAAGGCAAGGACCACATCTCATTCAACTCTACTTCTGTAGGACCTGGCACGTATTCCACGCGCCCTTGGGAAACGTTTCATCAAATTTGTTGAGTCGGGGGAGTTTGCTTTTAATAGCAAGGTAAGCCTCAAATAAAAAATCAAGGTTATGACCATTTGTATCCCATAAGCTCTTTTAAATGGGAAGGATGTTTGAGTGCTTGACAGCCCTCCGAAGTGGTCTTCTCTTAAGCCCAGTCCAAGGAGCCAGCCTCTGAGGAAGAGAACCCTGCCTGTGACTACAAAGTCCTGTAAGTTCTGTTCATAGTTCCTTCTAAGTGGGTCTTAGCCCTGGTCTCAGAGAAAGGACAGAGGGGCAGACCAGGGCAGTGCACAAAGCTCTGGGGCAGCAAATGCTCCCCCCACAAAGGGGTGCAGCTCAACTCCTCTGGAGGAGCCGGGGTTCCCAGGGTGGGGCACAGGCTCCCTGCAGCCCCCCTGGCTCCTCCTCGGATGAAATGAAATGTTCTCCTGTTGAGGTTATAAGGGGAAAAGCTGAGTGAAAGAAAGCAGCACTGTTACTGGAAATTAGCTTTTAAGTCACTGGGTAAGTGGCAATCACCGACTTTGTAAGCGCTCGTTAAGTTTTTGTTACACGGGAGATTTGGAAATGTACAGTGTGAACACACTCGGCAGCCAGGAAAAGCACTCGGGTTGTGTCTTCCATCAACACAACCATCTTGCCCGTATTATCTCGTCTGCTCTTCACGTGGCCCTGGGAAGTAGACTGTTATTACTATATTGCTGTTTCAGATGGAGAAACTGAGGCGCAGCAGGTGAAGCACCTCGATGCCTGGCTGACCCCAAATTATAAACCCATTCTTCTAACCTGTGCTCGCTCCCTTTTACCACCATTACTCAACAGTAAATCATGTTTCACGTTGGGCGCGACAAAACCCTCAGCACTGCTATTTACTGTTTTCTTGAAATTGTTTTTATAGATTCTAATAGTGATTCATGCCTTCGGCAGTCAACTTGAGAAATGCAGAAAGGAATCAAAACCGTTTGTAATCCCACACGTCAGGGATGAACAGTATTAACGTTCTGATTTATCTGTAAAGTTAGGGTCACACGACATGCAGTTAAAATCCTTCTTCTGACACATTACAAGTATTTCCCACAGCACTAGATATGTTCCCAGGAGCGTAATTTCTCATGGACATGTAATATTCCGTATTACGCCTGAGCCATCCCTTAATCAGCCACCCCCCTCAGTTCGAGAGTGAGTGTCTGTGAGGCCTGCTTGCCCCGAACAGAGGGATGGCCGATCCCTCAGAGGCACCGTGGCACCACTGGGAGCAGTGCTGGAGGTCATTCTGTCCAGTGACACCTCTATTTTCTTTTAGTATGTCCAACACACATTACAGATATTCGCCATTTTTGACTATTATAAAGTGTACAACTCAGCGGCAGTATGACCTCCGCGATGTTGTGGGACCCTCTCCAGTTCCAGAACATTTCCATAACGATGTCATTTTAGAGGAGACACCTTAATCCTACGTAGACGGGGACATCAGTGCCCATGGGTCATTCAATCAGCAGCATCTCCCAGGTGGTGGCCTCAGCCTGGGCTGCCCTGGTGATGGGGACCCGCTCAGGTTTTCCCGGTGGCAGTCAGAGGCGGTCTCCCTCCAGCGTCTGCAGCCTGCACCCCACCCTGCCCCAGAGCCACAGAGAATGAGCCCGCTTTCTCTTCTACATGATGGCCTTTCACGTTGCTTTCCAGGGTTGCTGTGTGTCCAATAGGACGACTCCTATTTCCCTCCCTTCCTGACCCCAGTTAATAACCTCAAGATGCAAAGGGCCTTACAAACCATATGCTGTCATTGTCATGGACTCAAAACCACACATTCAGGGGGAAATGGGTTTACTCAACTGGAAGAAGGCAGTAAAGATATAGCTGATGTACAAGAGGAAGTAAAACAACAAGAAATAGTACTTTTGCTGGAGATAATTTCAACTATCGCACTGAGATCCAGGTTATCACAAATACTACAAAATCCTGTTTTTACTTAATAGCATTTTAATGAAAATGTCAGGCTTATAAAAATAAGAGTGACTAGTAAAGAAAATATAAATCAAGTTTACTAGTCCTCTGGGGTAATTTTAAAAATTGAATTTGGTGTATCCATGAATTCATTAAAACAGGGGAAAGAATCTCAAATGTTCTATTTATCATCGTTTTTCAAATAAAGTAGAATTATTTTTTATCAAACCTTTTGTGAGAAAAACACCTATCTTTATTTTGCCTGGCAAGCCTACTGTCAAAAATCACCAGTGTTTACTGGGAACCTACTACGTACATTTCAAGCATCAGGCCAAACAACTTGCCTGTATCACCTCAATTGTCCCTCATAGCAATTCTGGGAGGTAGGTAGAAACTGGTTCCATTTTACAGAGTAGAAAGCTGAGGCCCAGAGAACCTGATTACATGCCCGATAACACAAACCAAGGGTGGAATCAGAATTTATACTTCTGTATAAGCTGTCTATACTCCCAGAAATGAACACCAGAGGAAGGCAGACAAAGCAAGGTCAGGTTGCAGATTCAGAGAAGGTGCTCAAATTCTCTCAGAGAAATAGTTTTCATTCTTAGTTAAGCATCCCTTCAATAATTTATTTATTTATTCATGAGCCACTTTCCAAGCACTTAGCCATCCCGAGGACCTGGGACACACGGGTGAGTCCCCTACCCAGTCCCCGCCCCAGAAGCACTTGCTCAAGGGGGAAAGACAAGCCCCATTCATAAATAGTCTCTGAGGCAGGTGGAAGTGGCCAGGCGAGTGTCTAGAGGTGGGGCCCGGAGCACTTGGAAGGAGCAGGGTTGCCTGGCCTTGGCGGCAGACCTTGGGAGGAAATGGGTGGGAATATGATCTGAATGCCCACGTGCGTCTGGGTCCGACAGGCTCTGCAATGGCAGACAAATGGGCTTGGGTTTGGTAGTGCAGGAGGCGAGAAGAGTGTGATGAGTTTCAGGGAGAGGAGTGGCAGGATCAGAAGTGCGTGAAGATGAAGGCATCTGTCAGCGGTGTGGATGTACCCTGATCCAGGTGGGGGATGGACGAGGTCGGAAAGTGCAGTCCCTGGACCAGCAACATGAACATGGCCTGGGAACTTGTTAGAGATGCACTTCCTTGGCTCCACCCGGACCTATGGCCCGGGAGCCTGTGAGTGGGCCGGGCACGCTGTTCCGGGAAGCCCTGCAGTG